TACCAAAGGAATAACTTTATATTAACTCCACATAATAAAGCATTTATAATGGATTAGTAAATAGTTTATTCATAATTTATTAATCATTACTCCCACATTTGTAAATGTTAGTAACCTAGTTATTCACACATTTATAAACAACTCATGATAATAATTCATAAGATGTTTAATATAGGTCCTTATAAACCATTTACTAATCATTAGTTAAGTCTTTTTGCGTGGCATCGTCTAAAGTGTGGGCTATTTATACTTTATATGTTCAATATATTTCCTTTAACATCATGTGTTGTGTGCTTATTATTTTACCATTGATATGTTCTAGGCTATTTTGAGACTTTAAGGAGCATCAGGTACTGCTGGAATGTCTACCAATGGCATATCCATCTTTTCGTGAGAAATTACACTGGTCACAAAAAAACATTTATAAAGTATTTATAAAGTATAAATATCTCATGAAAAATGGCTAAGCCATTATACATTACAGTGGGGGAAAAAAAGTATTTAGTCAGCCACCAATTGTGCAAGTTCTCCCACTTAAAAAGATGAGAGAGGCCTGTAATTTTCATCATAGGTACACGTCAACTATGACAGACAAATTGAGGGAAAAAAATCCAGAAAATCACATTGTAGGATTTGTAATGATTTTATTTGCAAATTATGGTGGAAAATAAGTATTTGGTCACCTACAAACAAGCAAGATTTCTGGCTCTCACAGACCTGTAACTTCTTCTTTAAGAGGCTCCTCTGTCCTCCACTCGTTACCTGTATTAATGGCACCTGTTTGAACTTGTTATCAGTATAAAAGACACCTGTCCACAACCTCAAACAGTCACACTCCAAACTCCACTATGGCCAAGACCAAAGAGCTGTCAAAGGACACCAGAAACAAAATTGTAGACCTGCACCAGGCTGGGAAGACTGAATCAGCAATAGGTAAGCAGCTTGGTTTGAAGAAATCAACTGTGGGAGCAATTATTAGGAAATGGAAGACATACAAGACCACTGATAATCTCCCTCGATCTGGGGCTCCACGCAAGATCTCACCCCGTGGGGTCAAAATGATCACAAGAACGGTGAGCAAAAATCCCAGAACCACACGGGGGGACCTAGTGAATGACCTGCAGAGAGCTGGGACCAAAGTAACAAAGCCTACCATCAGTAACACACTACGCCGCCAGGGACTCAAATCCTGCAGTGCCAGACGTGTCCCCCTGCTTAAGCCAGTACATGTCCAGGCCCGTCTGAAGTTTGCTAGAGTGCATTTGGATGATCCAGAAGAGGATTGGGAGAATGTCATATGGTCAGATGAAACCAAAATAGAACCTTTTGGTAAAAACTCAACTCGTCGTGTTTGGAGGACAAAGAATGCTGAGTTGCATCCAAAGAACATCATACCTACTGTGAAGCATGGGGGTGGAAACATCATGCTTTGGGGCTGTTTTTCTGCAAAGGGACCAGGACGACTGATCCGTGTAAAGGAAAGAATGAATGGGGCCATGTATCGTGAGATTTTGAGTGAAAACCTCCTTCCATCAGCAAGGGCATTGAAGATGAAACGTGGCTGGGTCTTTCAGCATGACAATGATCCCAAACACACCGCCCGGGCAACGAAGGAGTGGCTTCGTAAGAAGCATTTCAAGGTCCTGGAGTGGCCTAGCCAGTCTCCAGATCTCAACCCCATAGAAAATCTTTGGAGGGAGTTGAAAGTCCGTGTTGCCCAGCGACAGCCCCAAAACATCACTGCTCTAGAGGAGATCTGCATGGAGGAATGGGCCAAAATACCAGCAACAGTGTGTGAAAACCTTGTGAAGACTTACAGAAAACGTTTGACCTGTGTCATTGCCAACAAAGGGTATATAACAAAGTATTGAGAAACTTTTGTTATTGACCAAATATTTATTTTCCACCATAATTTGCAAATAAATTCATTAAAAATCCTACAATGTGATTTTGTTGATTTTTTTTTCCTCATTTTGTCTGTCATGGTTGACGTGTACCTATGATGAAAATTACAGGCCTCTCTCATCTTTTTAAGTGGGAGAACTTGCACAATTGGTGGCTGACTAAATACTTTTTTCCCCCACTGTATTTATTATGTGGAGTTATTATAAAGTGCTACCCTAAAGGCACTGGTGGATTTACCATTAGGCAGAAGAGGCAATTGCCTCAGGCCTCACATCATGAAGGGGCCTCATGAGCTGAGCATAATAATAATAAAACATAATAAAAACAAATATTTAAATAATTTTGTCCTTCCCCATCTGCAGTGGAAGGTGGCTGAGCTACAGCGCTGTTTGGCAGAACAGAAGACATCCTGAAAATCGGTCTTCTCACGAAAACGTCTGTTTGGGCGACACACCTCTATGGAAAGATGAGACTCTCACGAACACGATGGTGTTCTCTGCTTTGCTCTACGACCCCCACAAGTGTCGGGACTCGGTACCGGCTGAAACTACCAAGATAGTTTCAGCCAATTGCGAATTTAAGTAAAGTTTGTGGGTGCACAGTGCACTGTTCGGATGCTGGAATTATTTTGAGTGAACGTGCAAAAGTAACCAACTTTTTGAAGTGATTTGAATGTGTTCATGGCACATTAAAAGGTAATACATTTTTACAGTTAAATTACATGTCTTTACTATAAAACCCATAAAAAATAATTGTGCATGCACACATATGAGGAGCGGGGGTGGGTGCCTCAGATTGGCCTCTGCCTGGGGCCTCCAAATCACTAAGTCCGCCCATGCCTTAAGGTTTATATAACAGAGCAGCATACAGTCTTTAAGATATTTGAAATTCTTAAATGTTTTCTGACAATATGCCTAGTTGATGTTTCCTGGATTTGAGTTCAGTATACTTAACACGTTATAAATGTTGTGAGTGTTGCTGTCTCATCAGAGTGAACCACTCATGAGTAAAAGTTCAGAGTAAAATCTTCCAATCTGATCCAGCCCTGAGTCACACTGAGGACAGCAATCTGGCACTGAGAACCAACAAGTCTGACTCATCAATGGGCCTCCATGCATAGCAAGGGAAACTGTGGTCGATGCCTTCAATTGTGTCGGCAACGCCACTTACATTTACGTAGAAAAAAGCCTAAATGTCCCTTGTCTGTCACGAATGTTGAATAAAATCATATTTGAATATGCCAATTGTCCGTGGCGTTGGTCATTCAGCTGGTCGAGATTTAAGACAAAATATCCAAAGGAAGTATTATTAAACCGACTTCAAAAAGGAGGTCTATGTGTGTGGTAATCAAGATGTGTTTGCTCATGACCGAAGGCACGTCCACAAGATGGAAGTATACTAACAGGTGTTTACATGGTTTTTCTCATGTGCCAGGTGATAGAAATCTCATCTTTAGTACCGCCGCTCTAAAAGGTTGGGTAAACAATACTGTCCTCCAGATATTTTGTCTCAAATTTCAAACAGCTGAAGGGCCAACCACACAGACAACCAGTAAATTAAGTTCATATTTTATTTTATTTAACATTCTGGTTTGTAAGGAAATGTCCACGATTTTGTAGTGCTTTGTTTCAGACTATATACCAACAATTGGTATCAAAGTCGGATTTATTAGGCAAGGGAAACTGCAGTACACGGTTCACATGCAAATTAGGGATTCATGAGAAATGTAGAACTCTTTAACCTTTTCTGCAGTGTCTCTGAAAATGTGACAGTATTATTACACTATATTATAATGACTGTCTAAAACATGAATCCTTAGTTTGAGAATTATATTTCCTTTATTTGAAGAATTTTGAAGAAAGCACTTGGGTTAAGAAATGTTGCTTCACATTATTTGCTCATGCATTTCCCAGCCAAAGCCATTCTATTTTTGATTTTGCCCTGAATCCCCATACCGGTAACTGGATTTGATTGAATATGACCCGAGGTTATTAGGACAGTAAGTACACAGTGCAACCATGTATCCAGTAGATGGCACTATCTGCTTTTTGTCCAATCAGCTAACCTCCCATCCCATGTGCTGAGTGTAGTTTGGTTGGATTGAGTGAGTGACTTGCCAAGTGAATGAGTGTGGTGCGTTTTATTTGAGAAAGAAGTGTGTATGTAACGAAACATTAATTATTTGAATAACATTTGGCAATGTATCAAACAAACCCATGGGGTCAAAATAAATGTCTAACACTTAGAAATACTTGAACTTCATTTGATTTAGTGTGCCTGGTACAATTGGCACCAATGGAATGGTCTCAAAAGTGCAAACTCAATATAAAAAACAAACCCACCTCAAATACTTTTTGACATATATTCACATTTTGACATGACCCAGACCCAGATTTGGTATCATATTGGCAGGCAATTCTCACTTTTGATTATTACAATTCATTTAAAGTCAGTGTTGCAATGGCTGTCGAGTTCCAGTGTCTGTCCAGTCCAATCCTAGCAGTCCAGTATTGAAGGTGTGGGCAATGCAATTCAACCTAACTGGGGCAAATTCAACGTTGCAGACAGAAATGTAACCTGCTTGGGTGATATTACCACAGATTATCCATTATGTTGACCAGATACTCAAGTGGCTACTCTAACAATTTAAAAAAATGTCTTAAAAATGGAAGGCAGTCAGGAGGAGGCAAGGTCAGGTGGGACCATTCTAGCCAATGAGAGGGAAGATACGTGTCCGAACAACAGGAACAACTCTGATATTGTTTGTTTTTGCCGGGATGTCACGAGTCCCTCTCATATCAGTACACTCGTAACAACCTAACAATTACGAAACAAATGCTCCATCAAATAAGCCTCACGTAGCAAATAAGCCAAAAAAATTCCAATTTTGTAGAACAAATTCTACACTCTCTTTTTTACATCTATACTAAAATTCCTCACTTTGTGAGCGAATAAAACGAAACATCGCCACCTGCTGGAGAAAACAGATTTTGTGCCCAGTTATCCCTCTCGCATCGCCTCTTCCTCTCTCATATTACCGGTCTTCATTTTCAGCTATCTCCAGCTGTCAGCCGCCCTTCGGCGTTCTTCGCAGCCGTCTTCCATCGGGGTGGGTATTGTAGTTTGGAAACGTATGTCTAAGCATATAGTTAGGGAGGAGATTCTATAAAACAACGACAATACCCAGCATCCACCTCTGCCGTGAAAGGATTGTAGAGGGACGCGGTTTAAAATGTATGGTCGTAGTTGATGTGGTGCGTTGCATTCGATCGTCGGTATGGTTGTTGTGTCATACTTGAACATCATTCATTTTAGATTTCGTGGATTTACAAACGCTTTTAATTAAAATTTTAAATAACTTTGAAGCAATCCATCACCGCTTTTGCTTGCCAGTGAACGAACGCTCAAAGACTGAAAGAGAGCTAGCTAACGCGTTTATGTGCCGCGCTCTAGGTCATTAATTTCCCTCGTCGTGGTTCTTCTAGCTACCCTGCTGAGATCATGCATCGACTTCAACACTTGGCAAATAGATCATTGATTGCAGGTGTTTTTGACCAGTCTCCAGCCCTTGTGCGGACAAAGGCTCGGGAAACCTCATGTTTAGTGCAGTCCATACGACTCAAAACACAAGGACCAGTTGAAGAGTATGGACTGAAGAGATTCAGTACAGCTGGAGCAACCGTGGTATTGAGAGAGAATGGCAAGATGCGAGAAAAGACTCTGACCATGGACACCATCAATCCGCAGGTGAAAGCGGTGGAGTACGCTGTGAGAGGAGCCATTGTCACGAAGGCTGGGGACATTGAGAGAGGCTTGCAGCAGGTGAAAACACATTGCCCATCATTCTAGCTAGTGAGGAAAACATTTACTTGGTGAGCTTGCTGGCTCATGCTAACCAGCATTTACCGAGAACTAGCTTTTTACCCAGCCGTAACGTTGGCACATCCTCCTGAGCAAACAAGCAAGCTAGCTAACTAGTCATGGATATGTGCTCTCATGTTTTGTAGGATCAACTAAAATAGTGAACGACAGTTGGGGAAATGGAGACGTAACGTTAGCTTGCTAGCTAGTTTATCTAGAAGGACGTGTGTAGCGTCTTCTCTCACTGCTGATACAATGTTGCATCATCCTCCTCGAGTTGGGATGCCCATCCCCTTGTAGGTGTGTGATAAGGAGCCAATCCTGCCTCATGATTTTCTCAACCTTGGTGGTCCCTCCTCATGGACGTGGCAGTGATGAGCTTTGACAGGGGACCTCCCGCACCAGACAGTGAATTTCTAAATCTACCGTCTGGGGGTTTGTTTTGTTTGATTCTGGAAACGGTCCACTACAAGCCGGAATGTTGATTACAATTACATTTGAAGTTACTCAAACGGTTGTCTGCGTGGTTGGTCCTTTTGCAGGTAGGACTTTGAGACTATATCCACAGGAAAGTATTATTAACACTTTTCAAAGCACTGGTAGTGCGTTCAGATAACTTTAACCTGAAGCATGCACACATGATGCAAATACTTGCACGCAAGGCATGAATACTTGCCAAACGTAACGTTACAGTGCGCATGTTTACATGGTTTTAGACCTGCTTCATGTAATATAATTCTGAACGCAACTCAGTGCTTTGAAAAGTTGGTCTAATAATACTTTCCTGTGGATAGATTGGCTCAAATTCCTACCTGCAAAATGACCAACCACGCAGACAACCAGTAGAGTAAACGCATTTAATTATATTCAACATTTCTGCTTCTATAGGACCATTTCCAGAATCTAACACTCGGGGGGAGGGGGGTAAAAAGCTCTGACAAAGGCCTTGAGGCCAATATGTAAAGCTTAATAAAGAACAGTGATACAAGCAAGAGCAGTGGGCGTGGCTTCTATTTTCTCTCGTGTTATTCAATTGTTACCATGCACCTGCAACAAAGATAGCTCAACTGTGCAAGTCCCTTTTTGAACCTTCTGGTTCCCAGGCAATGATGAGCTTAGCTAGTGAAAGCTCATCGAAAGATAATGGTATCAGTGGCTCAACTGCTATTCATGTACACAATGTGCTGTTTAGTGATGCCTTTAAATTAATATCAGGGAAGGACTCCTTGTGATCCAGACTGTTGTGTGGGTAAGTTTAGGCTAGTTTACTTCAATGATGGAGATGAGCTACAACACAGGGATAATTTTATGTAAATGTAATTCTATGAGCTACAAGATCAGTGGACTGGAATTCATTCATGCAGACTAATGCTGTGACTGACCTATAGCCCACACTCCACTTGAATGAAAACCAGTCTTTGAAATCTACTCACACTACTCTCCTTTCACTTGAGTCTTACACTCACTTGCTTCTCTGTCATGTTGGAAAAGTTGATTGATGTGTGCCTTGGGCAATGGCAGTTCAACTAATAATATCCCTGAAACAGGTGCCTTCCTAGGGGTCGGTAGGAGCACATGATCCTCGTACCACCCACAGATACAAGACCACACTAGGGTGGGTCGTTTTATGTCCCCTAAATACTGTTGTCAAAAAATATGATTTAGATACTGGGCCAACACAAGGGCATTCAAATGTAATTGTAGGCCTACAGCATTTGGGTTAGGCTAATACATAATGTAATGGATGGTGTCAATCAATGATAAACCCCCAGTATACATAATCATGCAATGTATTTGCGCTTTGACCCCAACCATGACTGGAGTAATTATTTGATCCATCACTTGCTGTAACAACTCCTCTAACATACTCTTCTGTCTTGTAGGCCTAAATCTGCCTCAACAGTTACACTGATAGAAATAATAGCCTACTTAGATCTGTACTACACTGAACAAAAATGGAAATGCAACATGTAAAGTGCGGGTCCCATGTTTCATGAGCTGAAATAATGAACCTAGAAATGTTCCATTTGCACAAAAAGCTTATTTCTCTCAAATTGTGTGCACAAATTTGTTTACATCCCTGTTGGTGAGCATTTTATCCATTGTCAAGATAATCCATCCACCATTTCTCTACCATAAGCCGCCTCCAACGTCATTTTAGAGAATTTGTCAGTACGTCATACCGGCCTCACAACCGCATACCATGTGTAACCATGCCAACCCAGGACCTCCACATCCGGCTTCTTCACCTGTGGGATAGTCTGAGACCAGCCACCAGTCTGATTGGCTGGGCCTGGCTCCCCAGTGGGTCTGCCTGGCTCCCAAGTGGGTGGGCCTATGCCCACCCATGGCTGCGCCCCTGCCCAGTCATGTGAATTCCATAGATTAGGGCCAAATTAATTTCTTTCAATTGTCTGATTTCCTTATATGAACTGTAACTCAGCAAAATCTTTGAAATTGTTGCACTTAATATTTTTTTTCAGTATAGTTCTTCATATGTGCAGGGATATTTAAAAAATTGCAATTTTCTCAACATGAATATAAATTGTACTTTTTTCCCTCCAGGGTCAGAAACACCCCTTCACTGAGGTCATCAAAGCCAACATTGGAGATTCACATGCCATGGGGCAGAAGCCAATCACCTTTCTCCGTCAGGTGAGGGGCAGGGATGGGTTAGGAAAAGTGTGGTCTTGCAAAGTCATATTTACATCACCTGTCCTACCACCATAACCACCACAAGGTCAAATAGACTTCTAATTCCATAATCACCCTCTCTAACTGGACTGTTGATTCGATGATCTTGCTAAGGAAATATTCTGGCAGGACGGCTATCTGTTTATTCAGAGTTACTAAATCAGTCATCCTTGGCTGGGCATCAGTTTGGCAGATGAGGATGCACATCTACTGTTTTGTTTAGGCTACTATTTGCAAACATTAGAGGAATGTCCTCAGCTCATGGAGAGGTTGGAAATGAGATCACGTTAATTAATACTTAATAATACATTCATCTCTTAACAGCAGCATAAAATGTGTTATCTATCACTATCTGGTATTCTAGAAGAAAACAAAACATGAAGCATATTCTTACTCTACTTACTGTTGAATTCCATCCAGCAAATTCGTGTTGGATAGGCTAACTGGGCATGTGCACAGACTCAGAGCACAGAGTATGGGGTGTTCTGTTGGTCTCTTCTAGTGAAAGTGCACATTCCAGAGATGGGGCTACATTATGTCCAGTCTTGTGCTCCACATTGTTATAACAATCGCCTTGGGCGATATTGAATTAATTTGAATTAATGTATTTGCGTGATCTTCCAAATATCTGTATCTCAAGAATCAAGTTCTTTTAAATTTTTTATGAGCGTTTATGTCCACTTATTCTCATGTCTTTTTGGTCTCGTCTCATTCGCTCTTTCTGTGAGCAATGACTTGTGAGCTGTGCACCTTCCAATATACACACACACCAAGCCCCTCCCCTCTGCCACTCACAACGACAAAGATGAGAGACCACTTCTTCCTCTCTGACAAACGGATTCAACTCGCTATTTGCATTTGAGGTTTGGTCCAACAGAATTGGTCAAATAAAATTGTATTTGTCACATGCGCTGAATACAACAGGTTACCGTGACCTTACCGTGAAATTCTTACTTATGAGCCCTTTCCAAACAAAGCAGAGTTTTTTTATAAAGTAAATAAGGAAACTAAAGGAAAAATGGACACCGAAACACAGAGACATTTTACTGTAATAGAGAAGTTAACCTTTCCAACAATACCCTTTTTATGTCTCAACTCTTCAAATTGCGCGTAGAGCGGACACTACTAAAACAAGAGTAGCAATGAACATTGATTCTGGAAAATGAATGCTCAATTTGTCACGCCAGACATTGCAGGACCACTTAACGCTAGAAGCATTTTAGCCAAAGACTGTTATACTAGCTGTCTAGTCTGTGTTTTATAATTGTTCAATAAGCATAAAACACAATTGTATAAAGAATTGGCAACTCCTTCTCATTCTGAGAAATAAGGTAGGCCACTTGATTTCAACATCTGAACAAAGTGGACAGGCTAGCATGCTGTTCAAACAGTTGGAGACAGACAAGGGTGTGTTCATAACAATTAAACTGTTCTACCTTGTTAGCAAGCAAATATATATAATTTGGCTAAACTTGAAATATAAAGGTTAGCTGGCTACTCACTAGCAGATGGGCTTGTGCTTGAGAGATTGTTTATGAGACCTGTGTTAACTCTATAATTCCTGCTACAAGAAGTTAGTCTGTTTTTTTAAATTAACCCATCCACCTCCATCCCCTCTTCAGAGAACACAAATATCTTATTTTGTTTTTGCAGCTTTTTTGCTACATATACACTACCATTCAAAAGTTTGGGGTCACTTAGAAATGTCCTTGTTTTCGAAAGAAAAGCAATTTTATTGGCCATTAAAATAACATCAAATTGATCAGAAATACAGTGTAGACATTGTTGATGTTGTAAATGGCTATTGTAGCTGGAAATGGCTGATTTTTAATGGAATATCTACATAGGCGTACAGAGGCCCATTATCAGCAACCATCAGTCCTGTGTTCCAATGGTACGTTGTGTTTGCTAATCCGAGTTTATCATTTTAAAAGGCTAATTGATCATTAGAAAACCCTTTTGCAATTGTTAGCACAGCTGAAAACTGTTGTGCTGATTAAAGAACCAATAAAACTGGCCTTCTTGAGACTAGTTGAGTATCTGGAGCATCAGCAATTGTGGGTTCGATTACAGGTTCAAAATGGCCAGAAACAAAGAACTTTCTTCTAAAACTCGTCAGTCTATTCTTGTTCTGAGAAATGAAGGCTATTCCATGCAAGAAATTGCCAAGAAACTGAAGATCTCATACAACACTGTGTACTACTCCTTTCACAGAACAGCACAAACTGGCTCCAACCAGAATAGAAAGAGGAGTGGGAGGCCCCAGTGCACAACTGAGCAGGAGGACAAATACAGTAGAGTGTCTAGTTTGAGAAACAGGCACCTCACAGGTCCTCAACTGGCAGCTTCATTAAATAGTACCCGCAAAACACCAGTCTCAACGTCAACAGTGAAGAGGCGACTCCGGGATGCTGACCTTCTAGGCAGAGTTGCAAAGAAAAAGCCATATCTCAGACTGCCCATCTTCATCTTTTATTTTTATTGGCCAGTCTGAGATATGGCTTTTTCTTTGCAACTCTGTCTAGAAGGTCAGCATCCCGGAGTCACCTCTTCACTGCTGATGTTAATTTTAGAATAAGGATGTAACGTAACAATGTGGAAAAAGTCAAGGGGTCTGAATACTTTCTGAATGCATTGTATATATCTCGTGAATCGTCCATAAGTTTGAAAAAATCGAGATATGATTTTTAGGCCATATCGCCCAGGACTACAATCGCCCCCAGGGCAGCCCACTTCAGATCTTCCATTATCATTAAAATAATATCCCCAGTGATTGAATGAACTAGTAGGCTAGCTTTACCAGGAGGCCTGTTTTTTTTTTAAATATTGTTGAAGTACCGGTATGTGAAGTCCTATATAGCCTAGTTTGAGTAGTTCTATGAAGCCTAACTCTGCACCACCCACCTTACTTTGTCTATAATAAACTTGCGTTGTCAGGTGGCTTGAAAATAAATCTGTCAGTTGCTGATGACATTGTGTGCAGACCGGTGTGACCATGGAACTCTGTCGTAAAACTTTCCATGTGATTCAGTAGCTTGCAAGGCAGCAAGCTTTGTTGATGCCAGTCAATGCCACTGCTATGTCACTGTCCAAGGTGACTTGTGTCCCTGGCCTCACTCCCCAATATTTACTGCTATGGAACCATAGAACCTGTGTGCCAATGTCATGCTGCCTATTTGACTGTGGTCAAAGGTTCTGCCCTAAATCTCATCTGCAAACATGCTCTCCACCACCTAGCAACTTCACTACAAACAAATAAACACAGAACAGATTGTGTAAATTACTTGTGGCTAGGCTACACTAGCCTCCTATTGACGGGTTGGCTGACAACGTTACAGAAATGATGCGCGCACATTAATGGGTCCGGAAGCGGTGCGTTATTATGAACGGTCAGATAGCAGCCAATTGGGGAATTGTAGGTGGCACGTTTCAGCTAGTTTTATCTTGCTCTTGATGTCTTGTTTTGAGGTGTTTTAACTTATTTCATGTCAATGCTAATATGGCACAAATTCGCTAGCTAGCTAACCAACAACTGTGCAAATTAATTTGTATTCAATAAACATTGGAGACTAAATATAGTTTACATGTTGACAACAATCTAAGTCAACCCTGTCTGTTTTGCCCCATAGTTGCGTATGCATCGGTTTTGTTGCTAAACCACCAACCCGCCTATGTACTTCATATTGGTAAAATGGAAGGCCATTTTTAAGTTGCTTATTTAATGTCTGTCATTGTGTAAACCCATGAGTCCTCTCGATAGAATGAGTAATGTTCAGATGAGTGTTGTTGATTTGCTTTAGAACCATTCTCAGAGTGAAAGATCACAACACATCTTCCTCCTCCACACATACTAGTCCTTACATGCAACAAGGGCTACAAACAGGAATCAGAAATTCCATTAGAACTGTACAAGATGTACAAGTGCAAACATGATTGTGTGGAAGGATGGCTTCAGGAAAGAAGGTTTTTTCCTCCTGTTGGTTCACCTGGGATGCTTATGTAATGCTATTTACATATTATGTAAAATAAATTGACATTTTAAATGTGAAGGTGTCTGTGTGTCTTGATGGGGGTGAAGTTAACATGAACACTTCCTGTATGTATGTTCAGGTGGTGGCTCTCTGCTCATTCCCAGAGCTGTTGAACAGCCCTAGTTTCCCGGAGGATGCCAAACAGCGTGCCCGTCGCATCCTACAGGGCTGTGGGGGACAGAGCCTGGGTGTGTACTGTATGCCTGTCTGAGTGCACTGCACTCACATTCCTGTGTTGAAATATAGCCTAATAATATAGCTTTAAATGCTGACCAAGTAGGAGATTTGGCCTCCTGTGCACTGTTGATGGGTTCAGAATTGTCTCACTGACAAAGAACAGGATGCTAGGTTAATGCAGAACCTAGCAGTGTTTTGGTTACAACGATATGCATTGGAATTCTTTCTGTGACCTACATTTGCTGCAAGATATGCCTAATAGTTCATGTAAAACTGCATTGTACGGTGGAGCTAGAAAGTGTATGCAAGTTGAAGTTATCTAAGCTCTCATTTATTTCCTGAAACAGAACATGAAAACCAAATCCGGAGTTGATACCATATTGTGTGTGTTAACTCCAGGGTCGTATAGTGCCAGCCAGGGAGTGGACTGTATTCGGCAGGACATTGCTGTCTACATAGAGCAACGGGATAAGGGTGTGCCTGCCGACTGGGACAATATTTACCTCACCACCGGAGCTAGTGATGGCATCGTGGTAAGTCTTTAGTTCTCAACCCTTTCGAATAATCCTCTTACAAACAAAAGGGAGTTGGTTGGTATTTGTTTAATGTAAGCTGTGACTGAAAGTTCATTGGATTTATTAGGGATATTCATGTTTTTGACAGTGAGTCGCTTTCCTACTAGTTGTTGCTGTTGTGAAACGATATTCTCATCTGATCGTAGAGCATCTTGAAAATGCTGGTGTCGGGCCAGGGCCGGTCCAGGAGTGGTGTGATGATCCCCATCCCTCAGTACCCCCTGTACTCTGCAGCCATCTCTGAGATGGAGGCCGTTCAGATCAACTACTACCTGGACGAGGACAACTGCTGGGCCCTGGATATCAACGAGCTCCACAGAGCCTACCAGGCTGCCAAGGAGCACTGTCACCCCAGAGTCATCTGCATCATCAATCCAGGCAACCCTACCGGTGGGTCTCACCAGCCAGAACAATGAGATTAGGCTTCTTATGTAATGTGGCTATCCAGTGTTCAACACATCAAAGACCAATATCACACACATCCAAGACCAGTTTCCACCACATCCAAGACCAGTATCCAACATATCCAAGCATGAGCATCTCAAATCTATATGTTGCAAATGTTTCCCATGTCCCATAAGGCCAATAAGCATGATGATTAACTTTAAGAGGTCGCTATGTTGATACTGTACAACCAATTGAAACAAGCAACTAGGCCAAGGGTCATTGTGTAAGATATTATATGTGGAACCCCCTCTACTCTGCTTTGTCATGTAGGGTAGCTGATGGGTGTTTATAGCCTGCATAGGAAACTGGATCAGTCTTCACAAGCTGACATTATGTTCAAGGAATCTGACTCCCTCTTACATAGCTGTAACATAACTCGGTAAAGCTGTAATGTAATAGTCTGCCTGACACCTAACTTGAAGTCTTCCTGACTTCAGAGTCTGGAAAGGCTCCATGATGTTGTAGGCAAGATGTGTTCATAATGAATGGGGCTCTGCTTTTTTTACTGATTGGTTCAACTATTTCTCACTCATACACCCACATTAACAGCCACACAATCAAAACTCAAGCCAACTTCTGTGTGAATAACAACGGGCTCCTGTCCAGACCAGTGTGTCACAGTTCTCCCTCGCGTCCACCAGGCTAGTAACCGTCCGTGAGGTAATACTGCGGTCCTCTGGTTTCCAGCTGCCTCCATAATACAGTACATTCTGTCTTTGTAGACATGGTGTCCCCTGTACAAATGGAAGGCCCATGTAGAGTTGCCCATGTACTCAATTTCAGCACCTGTGGTGACCACTCTCCCTACCCCCTTCTCCTTTCTTTCTCTCTGGCAATATTCAGGTCAAGTGCAGAGTAAGAAGTGCATCGAGGAAGTCCTCCACTTTGCCTACGAGGAGAATTTGTTTGTTATGTCCGATGAGGTAATTGTTTGCTGTTTCCAACTACTGTAGTGTATTGATCTGAATCGACACCAACTATTTCTCAACTTTTCCAGTCCTATGAGAAGTATCAATTCTCCATTGATATAATCCTCCTATGTGTGTGTCCAGGTGTATCAGGACAACGTGTACTCCCCAGACTGTCAGTTCCACTCCTTTAAGAAGGTGCTCTATGAGATGGGCCCAGAGTACTTCAACACGGTCGAGCTGGCCTCATTTCACTCCACCTCCAAAGGCTACTCAGGAGAGTGAGTATTCATATCCACGTGCCCCTCGCACGGGGTTACTATTTCCCCAAAGTACCCTTAAAACACCACACGCTGTCTGTGCTCACTCTGAATTCTCCGTCTGACCGCCATAAGTAGTCAATGACTTACATTACACGTTCCTATGTGTCCATAACAAGCTGTCCATCTCTTATAGCCCCTTAGTCTTATGTATTTGATCTACAAGAGCACTCTGTAAAATGTTTGCCTTTTGCGTTAGTACGCCATGTTGCCGTGGGAGACAGATCCGTGCTGTGCTTTAGCCAACTCCTGATTTGCGTTGTCATGCTTGTTTAAACGTCAGACGAGTTGGCTAAATCACAACACAGGCTACCAGGCCAAAAAAACAATGACCTTGGAATGCGGACTGACTGGCTCATCGGATTGTCCTTGCCATGGTTGATTTGATCTAGGATAAACTCCAGTTTGGTTCTATTGTGTGTGACTGTGTACCCAACACTAACGCTCCCCTCTCCTCTGTCCTCTCCCCCTGCAGGTGTGGGTTTAGAGGGGGCTATATGGAGGTTCTCAACCTCGACCTGGAGGTCAAGGCACAGCTGGTGAAGCTGCTCTCTGTGAGGCTGTGTCCCCCTGTCTCTGGACAGGCTGCCATGGATGTCATCGTCAACCCTCCTCTGCCACACGAACCCTCCTATCTCCAGTTCCACAAGGTCTGTCACTCAATGTTCAGAGAGGGGGGGGGGAGGTCAATGCTCTAGGGTTCATTTGTTAGTGTTCAGTTTTGATTGTCATCCAAGACCCATGTCTGACCTCTGTGTATCGTGTTGTCTTTCAGGAGAAGAGTGCTGTGCTTGGAGCTCTGGCTGAGAAGGCCCAGATGACTGAGCAGATCCTCAACACGGTCCCTGGGATCAAATGTAACCCTGTGCAGGGAGCCATGTACGCCTTCCCCCGCATCTTCATCCCCCTACGAGCTGTGGAGGAGGCCAAGGTCTGTTCACCTAACAGCCATCTATAAACCTACTGCTAAAATGGGATTCCTTTCTACACCCATTTGTCCGTTAGTGAATTTGTCACTTCTCAACTCGGAGAACTCACTTCATGCATAAAACTTGCATGGTGTAGGTACTGTGCAGCTGACCACAAATTGGCATCTGCATGTAATTATATGCCTCCACACCCGAAAACTAGAAAAACAGGTTTGTAACTGTGTCTCTCTTCTGCAGTCCCTGGGAATGTCTCCTGACATGATGTACTGTCTGAGGCTGCTTGAGGAGACTGGCATCTGCCTCGTTCCAGGCAGTGGCTTCGGCCAGAGGGAAGGGACCTATCACTTCCGGTAACTGCTCAACTCATGGAAACATTGCTGACCATCATACATTTACAAAGACGGAAGAATTTAGAGAAGCCTTTCAGAAAGATTGTCTGTGACAGTGTTTTGTTTGTCCTGATTCACCAGTTGGATCAGATTGTAACAGTAGCTAGTGACCTACATTGAAGCATTGTAACCTAACCATTACAGTGCCACGTCTACCAGGCTCAAATTGGTCAGGCACTGACATCTCGCTTGCATAAGTAAACTAAAAAGATTTAACTGAGATGGAAATTGCTAATATTACACTAGGCTGAAAGGAGCTAACTGACTAGCTGGCCTCCTTTCATTCCAGCTCTATTTCTATATCTTACAGATGCTGTGTTTACTCTGCATTGATCTCTTCCTTCCTGTTTGTCTCTTGCCCGCTAAGTAATCTCTCGTGGACAGATTCACATGTAACAACGTTCTGGAGAATTTTACTTCTGGGTAACCGAGATTACCCGCTAAATTGTTTTGCATATGATTTCCCCCTAGAATGACCATTCTGCCCACGACAGAGAAGCTGAAGGTGCTCCTGGAGAAGCTCAGAGATTTCCATATCAAGTTTCTGAAGGAGTACGCATCATTGGAGGAACCAAAGAGATGAGAGCACAGAGGATGACGCTCTAGAATAGTTCAGATAGTCCCAGTTTGAGAATGTTTAACACAGCATTAAATAAAAAAGCATTTACAGAGGTATCGACTAACGTAAAGTAAAAAAGTAACCCCTTTTTTCCTCTGCTAGTGTAACCTATGATTGCTTGAAGTTTTAATCTGATTTTAGGAACAGTACTTGTGTTTAAGAGACATTGTGCCTTTGTCAGACGAGGTAAAGGTGTGGGGAATCTGCAGTTGCTACATACATACATTTTAGGACTTGTAAATCGATGTACCCATTGATTCTTGAAGAATACATCTGATAAATGCCTCAAGCTGTCGTACCCCATCAGAACCCAAAATATATAAGCTTTGTAAATGTAAACAATATAGCCTTAACACGGTTAAAACTGTGTAATGTTGATATCATGGATGATCAGTCCTTGCATCCATAGCTCTGGCTTTGAATTTGGTTACAATTCTCCAGTCCCATCCCTCAGATTTTTATTGGAACGGGCAGGGAGGACGTTTTATTGCAACTACTGCTGATTGCCCCTTTAACACTAAAGCAATGTAAATTGTGACGTACGCGAAGGTTCTCCATTATAGAGGATGCACTGGGGAATGGGACACAATGTTCTGGTTTAAAAAATATGCATTTTGTTGTTTTTGTGCCCGGGAAGTTATTTACACTGTGTTGTATTTTCTATCTGTCTTGAGGCTTTTGTGTCTCCTTAGAGGCATTTAGTGTTAGAGATCTAGACAATGGGGCACTGTAAGTGCTAATATTATCTTGGAACCAGCTGTACCTTTCCATGTGCCAAATGGAACTGGAAAACAGAGGTTGTTTATGTAGGTCATGGACTCCGGGCAATGAGTACTGCTACATCAGCTCTTTCTGATCCGAAAAACAGCAGGGAGGGATTCTCCTAACCATTTATAACATAACATCCTATCAGTCCAAGTCATAAAGCTTTGAGCCTGCATAGCTCCCTGTTGGGCACAGGTTTACCCATACAGTACCTATCTAGCATGACAGATGCACTTGGAGAGGGGTTTTTTGGGGGGTGAATGTCTGTACTCTCGGGTGCTTAGTTACAGGTGCTTAGTGCCGGCCATTATGTGGTTGTTATGGAAAGAAATGCAATTGTTTGTGTGCTACTCTTAAATGAGTTTAAAGGTCAAACCAAGGGAATTGTAGGTTCTGGTAATTCTGTATATCGGCATGTCCCCTTATTAGGCTATTTATTGCATAGATTGTTTACGCTTTTTACTGACAGTGGCTTTAAGTCTATCATTCACATTTGTATCACAACTCATCTCAGATGATCTCCCGAGTGGCACAGTGGTCTAAGGCACTGCATCGCAGTGCTAGCTGTGCCACTAGAGATCCTGGTCCGAATCCAGGCTCTGTCGTAGCCGGTCGCGACCGGGAGACCCACGGGGCGGAGCACAATTGGCCCAGCGTCGTTCAGGGTAGGGGAGGGAATGGCCGGTAGGGATGTAGCTCAGTTGGTAGAGCATGGCGTTTGCAACGCCAGGGTTGTGGGTTCGATTCCCACGGGGGGCCAGTACGAAAAATAAAAATAAAATAATGTATGCACTCACTAACTGTAAGTCGCTCTGGATAAGAGCGTCTGCTAAATGACTAAAAATGTAAATGTAATAGAGATGGTGGGTTGAATGCACTTTTGGGTTTTTGTTTGTAAAATGTTTTTGGGATCCTTCTGCCAGTATCTATCTTTCTGCACACTGTGAGCCGCAGGAAATGTTATTGTAAAGTGAAACAGTTTACAATTTCATTTTTTAGGTTGGAGATGAGCGTAGTGACCCACACAAGGCAGTCTAAAAGCTTCAGTTAAACCAATTAATTCAGCCAGCTGATGAACTTTTATTCTCTGATATCATCTCATCTCTATTTTTGTATGCAGTTTAATGCTGAATGAAGTGTTCAAGCATTAACCTAACCTCGGCAGCCATTCAATGTATGAAACTCTTGACTGACCTCAAAACATGAATTGTTTTTAACCATTTGACTGCAATGAGGTGCCTTCAATGGCGACAAGCTGTAATTTACATTGAGTGACTTTTGAGAATGTCAGCAAATTAATATATTTTTTATCAATACAATGAAATGTTTTTAAAATGCACATTTTCTGCTAAATGTTTGTTTTCATTTGTTTGCCTGGTTTGTATTCATCATTCTTTCTTCATGAGCTGAAAGTTAACTGGAAAAGGTTTTGGGTTCAACATCGATATGCTTATACATATCAACGTAGTTTCTAACTGAAATAAGACTGTTAACCCCAGTGTTTGCTTGTCTTGTTTACGTTTTGGATATGCGATATTTAAAATAATTCCAGATTTGCATTTCTTCTTTTGTTATTATTTCTGTTTTGTACAATAAATACTTTTGAGATCCATTTTGAGAGAAGATTCAAAATATTTTTTTGTCTGAAATGAAGGCTGCATTTACACAGGCAGCCCAATACTGATATTCTTCATTAATTTGTATTTTGACCGTTCAGATCAGCTCTGAAAAAGATCTGATGTGATTGGTCAAAAATATTAATATTGGGCTGCCTGTGTAAATGCATAAATGGTTTCATGCAATGTGAATTGAATGATTGTACTTGGAGAAACTACTGAATCTAATGTTTAGCCATTTACCCAAACATCAGAAACTACAATGACACAGTTCAACAATAAACAGTTTACCCTCTAATACAGGAGGACAATTCACTCTCCACCAGTCATTGAATAACTGCATGTCACACTTCCACCAAAGAAAACATCAGCTTTCCAGTACTGAACTGTTGATAGATCTTAAACTTGGCCATCTTTTAAATTAATATTAGATTGACCCACAGGACACAGTTTTGTCCTAGCCCAGCACTAATGGTTAGTGAGTTGAGTTATTAGTGGCCTCAGGTGGATTCTAGGGTCAATTTAAGGTCAATTGACTGGTCAGGAACACCTGGTGTCCTGAAGGTTATAAATCAGCGTTCAGGTGATGTGGAGGCAGGGGGAAAAGGCACACTGATGAAACCATGGCACCAAGAAGGATAAGAAAAATCAGCAATCAGGCAGAAGGACACACAGATGGTCAAATTAGCAAGGAGATGCGCCAAAAGCAAAGGGGCGCTTTTTATTCAACAGTTCGAGAAAGAAGGTTTTTAATTTGAAGAAGGCCTAACCCTACCGTCCGTTTTCCATGTTCTTCAAATGAACTGAATTCACTATGTTCTCCCTTTACAGCACAGGACCGTATAAACGAGATGGAGGCAAAATTGGAGCAGACTCTTGCAACAGTAGATCGGGTTTTCAAAGTGGAATTGATGAAAATGCCACCTGCGCTTCAAAAAACCCTGATAATAGATTTAATAAATGGTGCGATTTTCAATTGTATTTTAATTATTTTTTGGAATACATGTATGTTTTTATTTAGGTTGTTTCCACCCTTACTTTCCTAGCGGATGACATTTCGGCAGGTGAAGTCACAATCGCCATAAAGGTAGGATGGAAAATCGATTATCCGACTGGCTATAAATGGCTTAGTACTGCCTCCTTGTGGCTTACTGTAGAAATGTCAACATCCAACATATTTTACAGACCGAGTCACCCGAGATTCACCAGCCTCTCACTAGGAAGCTCAGTAAAAAAGGTAATGGTTTATTTCCTCAATTAATTTAAATGCATATAAACTTGTCATTAACGATACATTTCTTACTTCTGTAGTCAAAGTAAGTGAAGGTGCATCGGCTCATAAACGGAAGACTACAACAGAACCATCAAAGGTAGCTCGCAATTCAAAGAGCTTTATTGGCATGGGAAACGTATGTTTACATTGCCAAAGCACGTGAAATAGATAATAAACAGTGTTATAAAGATGTGCAAATGGATAAAGTACAAAAGGGAAAATAAACAGGGGTTGTATTTACAATTGTTTGTTCTTCACTAGTTGCCCTTTTCTTGTGGCAACAGGTCCCAAATCTTGCTGCTGTGATGACACACTGGTATTTCGCCTAATATATGGGAGTTTATCCAAATTTGATTTGTTTTCGAGTTCTTTGTAGGTCTGTAATCTGAGGGAAATGTCTCTCTGGTCATACATTTGGCAGGTTAGGAAGTGCAGGTCAGTTTCCACCTCGTTCTGTGGGCAGTGTGCACAGGCAGACCTGGCTATCAAGAGAAGACCGGCTATGGCTGCATCTCAATAGCAAGACTATGCTCACTGAGTCTACACATAGTCAAAGCTTTCCTTAATTTTGGTTGTCAGTGGTCAGGTATTCTGCCACTACTCTCTGTTTAGGTCCAAATAGCAGTCCAGTTTGCTGTGTTTTTTTGGTAAAGTCATTCCAATGTGTTAAGTAATTATCATTTTGTTTTCTCACGATTTGGTTGGGTCTAATTGTGTAGCTGTCCTGGGGCTCTGGTCTCTGTGAATCGCTTCCTTTAAGGTAGTTGTAGAATTTAACGGCTCTTTTCTGTATTTTGATAATTAGCGGGTATCGGCCTAATTCTGCTCTGCATGCATTATTTGGTGTTTTACGTTCTACACCCATGTTTATGCAGAATTCTGCATGCAGTCTCAATTTGGTGTTTGTCCCATTCTGTGAATTCTTGGTTGGTGAGCAGACCCCACAACCATAAAGGGCAATGGGTTCTATAACCGATTCAAGTATTTTTAGCCAGATCCTAATTGGGATGTCGAATTTGATGTCCCTTTTGATGGTGTAGAAGGCCTTTCCTGCCTTGTCTCAGATTGATCACAGCGTTGTGGAAGTTACCTGTGGTGCTGATGTTTAGGCAGCGGTAGGTATAGTTTAGCTCCCACTTTATTTGCATGGCATTAGACCAATGTGTGATTGGGAACAGACTGGGCATTTCCACATAGAAAATGTACTAAATTGTATTTTTTCTTTTTCTAAAGGGTTCCAAGAAAGCCAGATCACTTGCCAATAGCTCAAGCACTGGAAGCCTACGGTAACTCTCCCTATTTATTCCAGTCCACCACTCAAACACCTGATTGAACTAATTCAGTAGTGTTAGCTGAAACGCCCTCTTCTGGTTGATTCTGCTCATTTGTTCTTGCAGGTGTGCCACATCCACAAATACAAAAATAACCAAAACTCGTCTTGCCAAAATCAGTGATCAGTCGCCACTGACTGGAACGAAACACAGGTTTGTCTTCACTTATCACAATCCCAGTGCAGTGTAACTGCAGTTCTGCAATTACTGGGTCCAAAATACCAGTTGAGTCGACTGCAGTTACTGCACTTTTACTGCAGTTTCAAAACTGCAATCTTTTAAGGGATATCAGAGTTTATCAAATTAATTCTGTCCTAAATTCTGTTTCTAGATCTGTTTTGCAGTCAGCCAGTGATGACCACCTGTATTGCTCCCTGTCTGGATTGTCTCCACATGTAACAATCTCTACAGCCCATGGAGAGGTAACTTTTCATATTGAGGTTGTTGGGGTTTAAGTTATTTCAAGCAGTCTAAACTAGTCATATATTTTCTCCAAAGACATTGTGCCTCTCGGATGATACTGTTGAAGATGTCGACATTGGGTTACTGGATGACATGGCTGTTCTCCAGATGCAGAAGTTGATGGTAAAATGTAATCTGTTGTGAATTTCTCATTTAAAATGGACAATATATCCCCTACAATTAATTGACTAATCTTTCTCATTTAGAAACTGATGGACTACCTTTTCAACAAAGTCAAAGCGAATCAGCAATGATACCAAGACATCTAACGTTGATCCACTAATGCCACCTATGCATGTTTTACGTTCAAATTAAAAGTTGTGATTCAATAAATTGTATTTGTATATTCATGTTTACTGGCTGGTGAGCACTATTTAGCCACATGAAGTTGGTTGTTGTGAGCATCCTATTGAATTTTTTGGCTATAGGGTGAATGCACCAATTTGTGAGTCGCTCTGGATAAGAGCGTCTGCTAAATGACGTAAATGTGCCCTTGAGCAAGGCACTTAACCCTAACTGCTCCTGTAAGTCGCTCTGGATAAGAGCGTCTGCTAAATGACTAAAATGTAAATCAATGATAGTAAGACTTGATAGTTGGCTATATGAACAAATAATAATATAATGGTCTTCCATTTTAGTCATTTAGCAGACGCTCTTATCCAGAGCAACTTACAGTTAGTGAGTGCATACATTTTTTTAAATATTTTTTTCATACTGGCCCCCCGTGGGAATCGAACCCACAACCCTGGCGTTGCAAACGCCATGCTCTACCAACTGAGCTACATCCCTGCCGGCCATTCCTTCCCATACCCTGGACGATGCTGGGCCAATTGTGCGCCGCCCCATGGGTCTCCCAGTCGCGGCCGGCTACGACAGAGCCTGGATTCGAACCAGGATCTCTAGCACTGCATTGCAGTGCCTTAAACCACTGCGCCACTCGGGAGACCGTCTTGCTAACAGTGCTTGACTTGGGCAAGAGCTCACCAGGGCTGAGTACCAGCAACTAAAATGTTCTACAGTTTGCGCTCCTGTTCCTCTTATAGAATATTAACTCTAAGGTATTGTGGCGCTCCTGCACATGTACCATCCCAAGTCGGGTTTATTTAAGCAGTACTCAACTTATTGTGCCTGAATTTCTCACTTTTTGAAAACGCCATGCTCTACCAACTGAGCTACAGAGGGCCTATATACAACTCATGTATACACTGAACAAAAATAAACATGCAACAATTAAAGATTTTACTAAGTTCACATAAAGGAAACCTGTCAATTGAAATAAATTCAATAAACCCTAATCTATGGATTTCACATGACTGGGAATATATGTTGGTCAGATACCTTCAAGAAACATTTATGTATAGGGGCGTAGCTCAGGAAATAGAAGTTACAAATGTAACTATGGTTCTACGAATACCTTGTAAACCAGGGTTCTTCAATTCCGGTCCTGGAGGGCCGAAACACCTCTGTTTTTCATCCTCTCCTTCTAATCAGGGGCTAATTCAGACCTGGGACACCAGGTGAGTGCAATTAACTACCAGGTAGAAATAAAAAACAGAAGTGTTTCGGCCCTCCAGGACCGGAACCCTGTTGTAAACCATCCGTATGGTTGAAAGTATGGATTATGACCTCTCCGGAGCACGAGGGATGAGTAATAAAGGTGACGTGACGTGACGTGCCCACACGGTTCATGTACGGTTTTATGTCAGACCACGCACTGTCTCAGAGAATCTTCTCGCCCAAAAGATTCCGAGTGACAGGAAAGTACTGATGGTCTTCCAGGTATTCGTAGAACAATTTTTTTTTGCTAGGGGTTAGATCAGCTTTAATATTGCAGATAGATTGTAACATCCATCAATGTAATTACAGTGGGGAAAAAAAGTATTTAGTCAGCCACCAATTGTGCAAGTTCTCCCACTTAAAAAGATGAGAGAGGCCTGTAATTTTCATCATAGGTACATGTCAACTATGACAGACAAAATAAGAAAATAAATTCCAGAAAATCACATTGTAGGATTTTTTATGAATTTATTTGCAAATTATGGTGGAAAATAAGTATTTGGTCAATAACAAAAGTTTCTCAATACTTTGTTATATACCCCTTGTTGGCAATGACACAGGTCAAACGTTTTCTGTAAGTCTTCACAAGGTTTTCACACACTGTTGCTGGTATTTTGGCCCATTCCTCCATGCAGATCTCCTCTAGAGCAGTGATGTTTTGGGGCTGTCGCTGGGCAACACGGACTTTCAACTCCCTCCAAAGATTTTCTATGGGGTTGAGATCTGGAGACTGGCTAGGCCACTCCAGGACCTTGAAATGCTTCTTACGAAGCCACTCCTTCGTTGCCCGGGAGGTGTGTTTGGGATCATTGTCATGCTAAAAGACCCAGCCACGTTTCATCTTCAATGCCCTTGTAGTATCTTAAACAGTCTACAAATGCTGATTGTTGCAGGAAAGTGTGATAGAGGGAACTTGGCCCTAAGATTTTGCTGATGTGGCAAAATGGTGTAATAGATGAACTTTGCTCTACTTGGTTGTAACATCTGGAAAGCATTACTGATGCTAATGGAGAGAAGAGATGGGGAGTGAGGGAGAAAAGACTAGGGATTGGTTTTTCTAGAATCACACCATAATACGTCATAAAGGATATAAATGCCATGTCTTGGACAATAGGGGAGAGAATAGCTAATCAGATTGGCTCGGGCTGTTTTCCAGACATCTGCAGGAGTCTGTCAAATTCTGATGCTGGAACCTTTGTTATAATAAACCTTTGAAAACAGAGTACAGTGTCGGCGGATCTTCCTTATCATTACAGCTTGGACCAGCAAAAGTGTTTCTTTTAGTAACCACATTTAATGGCGACGAGGTTTTTGTTTTATTGTTCTTTGGGACGTGCTATGTCTCTTCTTTGCATTCCATTCCTGGGCTACAAAACGACTACCTCTCAGGAAGCCGGCAACTAAGGGTAAGTTTTTTATCACTAAATCATTGGGCGCTGGTCGTTTTGTGAGTCCAGAGTGTGTGCGTTAGAGATGTACCGTTAAAATTACTTATGCGTGCATTTTGCTGGTTCTTTTTGCTGTGTGATAGGAATTCCGTTCTAAATTTTCTAAATTAGTTTGAGTGTCTGTAGGACACACCGACAGGACACCGATGTTTTGGCTTGAATAAAAGTGCAAGGAGTGTCCAAGGAAAGGCTTAGAGGATAACGTTTGAAATGAGTTGACAGTATACTTTTAGGGCGCCGTTAATTTAAGGAAGCCCTCAAACGAGGCGATCATTAGAGATGGGCCATAAATCTTGATAGTTATTAGATTGACTCTCAAGTCAGTTCTCGGGACTGCTGGTTTAAGACAATATATTCAATTGTAAGTTTACCGCTCTGAATTTGTTTGACGAAACATCTGTCTGAAGTAATCCTCTCTTTTGAATGTCTAAAACCGGAAGGTAGCAGAAATTTAGCAAATGGAATATATTAAGAAATAGGAACGGCGATAGATGGATCCACTTTCTCTCTGTGTGTGTGTCTGAAATGAGAAAAGCGCATTTCTCTGTCAGCATGTGTGTGCGAAACAAGAGTGAGTGTGGCTGCGTGCTTGATGACTTCCAGATGTGTGTCGACTAAGGCTTTGACCAGAGTTTTTTTAGTCTCTTGTAAATAAATGTCTTAGGTATTTATCTTTTCAAATGTTAAGCCCCTAGAGTAAAAAGTTAAAACCCCTACAACACAGTTAAGGTTAAATATCTTATGAGTCTCTGTTTGTGAGAACGTTTGTAATTCTTAAACTATATAAACTATGAGCCCCCTGGAAGGACTATAAGTTTAAAGATCTTATGAGTCTCTATAAAAAGAGAACGTTTACTAACGAATCATGAGCCTACAGGGAGGACTTTCTAAGAGTGTATAGAGATGTTTTATATTTCATAACGTCATTACTATAAATCTGCAGATAAGTGATAACAAACTTCGAAGTTGGATATGTCTTGTATGTTCTATGTGTTCAGTTTGTGAGCTCTGTTAATGTCTTAAGTCTTATTGTATGTCTTGTATGTTCTATGTGTTCAGTTTGTGAGCTCTGTTAAAGTCTTCAGTGTTATTGTCTATGGGAGGAGAGACCGGAGCAACAGCGGGTCTGTTTATAGGTCCTTACACTCTGAAATCACATTGGTGACTGAACTGCGCACGCGTAGGATTTATGACTTTAGCCACTCCCCTGCACTGAACTGATTGGGAGAGTCCACTTCAGTGCAGCCAAAAAAGACAACGGGAGGGGGAATTTTGCACACAAGTGAAATCTTCTTTTGAATTAACTATTGCTTGACTGTAAAACTGTTTGGTTGATAATCGGTTGAGTTGGTGAATGAGAGATATATTGACGGATTAAAAATAATAATACTAAAATAAATGAATAAAATAAAATGTTATTGAGCTATTTATAATATTCCTGAGTTAAGCTGTTTGCTTATTTCTTAGCGTGAATGTGGAAAAACTATAAACTAAACTCTTCTTTGTCCTTTTGTCCTTCTGTCATACGAGAGACGAGAAGGAGGAGACAGAGAGAGAGAGAGAGAGAGGAGGGGCTGACATCAACTGACATCAGAGACGGCAACCCAGTCCAAATTAAGGCCAGTGCTGTTATTATTCACAAATCTACTTTCCCTCACAGGATATAATTGATACATTGTGTTTACATAGAATATTTCATGTTGTGACCATTTCGCAAGAGCTTGGCAACAGACTGATGAATTTATGTAATTGATAATTGCACATTACAGTTTTTGTCAATGACTTGTTTTGATTAGAGTTGTGTTGGAATTCCAGCATTGAAATTATTCTGTAAAATTAAGGTAATTAATTGCTTATTAAGCAATTGGGTAGTGTTGCTGGTACAGGTATTTTATTTTTGAATTGCTCTGGAGTTGACTACTTTCCTTTACTCTTCCTCATCGGATGTGGTAAGATTGCCACTAATCAATAATTTGGTAAAATAAAATTCACAGAATAATTAGTAATTCATTATTTGATTTATTGATTTGATTTGTTGATTGATTGACTTAATTGGATTACTTAGTTGATTGATTGATTTGATTAGGTTAGTTGATTGATTTATTGATTTGATTTGTTGATTGATTGACTTAATTGGATTACTTAGTTGATTGATTGATTTGATTGGGTTAGTTGATTGATTTATTGATTTGATTTGTTGATTGATTGACTTGATTAAGTTAGTTGATTGATTTATTGATTGATTGATT